TCCAAACGCTCAGGATTTCGGTCTTAACCGACCGACGTTCTGATCGTGCGAACGTAAAGGAGTAGTCGCCCTCCATACAGAACGGTGCCTATCCATTAGTCCCGACCCACGGTGTTTTGGGTGATGTGAGCTCGTACAGAGGTTTCGCTATCGAGTCGAATTTGTGTACAAATTTGCGGTAGTATGAGGACATACCCAGAAAGGTTCTAAGATCACTGATGTTGGTGGGTTCAGGATATGCCTCGATGGACATGGTCTTGTCAGGACACGTGGCAATGCCGTCTTTACTAATGATGTGGCCTAAGAAAGTTACTGACTTTTGAAAGAGGCGTGACTTGACTGCGTTCAGTTTCAATAGCGCTTTTTGCGCTGTCTCGAATACTTCTTCTAACGTACGTATGTGAGCGGGCAGATCTTCAGTTGCTACTATGAGATCGTCTAAGTAGATATGAACGTTCTGTTTGCATCTCATATTTTTGAAAAGCATGGAAATAGATCTTTGGAACACTCCTGGGCTCGTGGCTAACCCGAAAGGTAGAACCGTAAATTGGAACAGTCCATCAGGCGTTGAGGACGCGGTGATGGGTTTCGATTCTTCTGATAGTGGGACTTGCCAGAAGCCGCTTTTTAAATCAAGAGTGCTGAACCATTGCTTCTTTCCAAGATCATGAAGTATAGCATCCATGGTTGGTAGTGGATAAGCATCAAGAACAAGTTTCTTATTGACTTCACAATAGTCAATGCAAAATCGAAGATTTTTATCCTTCTTGACCACGACCACCAGAGGAGAAGACCAAGGGGAATTCGAGACTTCCATTACACCTCTATCTACCTCTTTCTCTGATGAGGTTCGCTACCTCATTTCTCAGTGCTGGAGGTAGCCTCCTCGGAGGTTGTTTAACGGGTTCTTCCGACTTTAACTTAATGTGATAGGGTTCAAGCTTCGTCTTTGTGAGATCCTCGTCGTCAATCGCGAAAACTTCTAAGTGCTTGATAAGGAATGGTATCTTATCCTGTCGTATAAATGTTATTACTGTATACTTATTATACCATCTTCTTCATTTATATAAAAATTTTTATTAAATATTTTGCATTCACAAACAATTGCATTTACAAATAATTGCACTCACATAATTTCATAACATAACAACATAGGATAACAGTATTAAACATATAAAAATTCACTCCAAGTTCAAAAGCCACATAATAGCATGCATAACATAACAAGAATTATATATACTTCAATCAAAATTAAAATCGTATTCCAGAATGTCTGCGTTGTGCTCTTTTATCCGAGCTTGTTCAAAATCTTTTTTCGCACATATCCTAAGAAGTCTTACGTTCGTCTTGGTGTTCTCCGTATCATTGAATGAGTAGTGCTGCTTTCTCACTTTCACAGAGTGACCAACAGCTCTTGAAAGAATCGAGCTGGCTTCTTCGTTGTTGTTATCCATCAAACTTTCAATTGAACGCACTGCCGATTTTCTAAATGGGAAACATTACTTAATCATGTATAAATATTATACCAATATAATATTTATACACAATTATAGAGCAACTTGATAATTTTGATCATACTCACCTTATGTAAACTCCTCCAATCAGAGGATCTGGAATGTCCTCGAAATAACGAATTAAATCAGTTTTGATGCACATGTTCTTATTGCAAAATGGAAACAACTGCTTTCTTCCAGTTAAATACTTATTTTTTGCACTAAAAATGAACTAAAAGAAGAAAACGCTTGGAATTACTCACGATATATAAAACTTTAGCAGGTTCTTGAAAGTCAAAGGAAGTCCATACATTAGAGACTTCTTATTTTTTGACAGTGGTATTTTCAGAATTATTAATACTGAAGTTTCCTTGATCATCTAAAATTTGATATAACATTTATACGGGCAAAATTAGGTCGTACATAAGTGGACGTCTCATTAAACTCTAACTTGTAGTAGAACTCTCCACGTGATCCATTGAAGACCTGCACCCACAGACATATGAGCAAGCCCAGTTTCATGGTGCTTGTTTTCCCATCTATTCCCAAAGTAATTTGTCGCTTCAATGTCGGGGCTTTCTTAGTAAAATATTCCTCCAGACACTTATTCACCGTGTAATAGGTAAACTTTGGCTCTACCTGATTGGTCTTTGCTTCAATTTCCTGAAAATCAAAGTGAAACGATGAGAGTATAATAATTATACGTGAAAATAAAAGTATAATTGTTATACGTATGCAACCCTAACCGTTTTGAAATATGAAAGGACTTCTTTTGTCTTATCTCTAATCCATAACCTCAGATTGTAATGTACATTTTCTTGACAAATACCACTAATGCAGGCCGATACAGAGTTATAGTAACTCTTTGCAGAATCACATGCCCTTACTTGTTGCACAGCTTCAATAACATAGAGAATGACCTGAAATAACATGAATAAAAATAATTTAGAAATAATATTCACCTGCCTCATTNCAGTTATACCACAAACAAACCCTTGTATACTTCCTTGTTACCCCTCTCTCTTTCAGAAAAATTTCAGCAACTACGAAAACTTCATATTTTCTTGCCAATTGGAAAGAGTGACAAAAAAGAAATGCCGGCATTACTGACGTCTTCCTCAAACAGAGGTCGTACAGATCAAGACCGAGTACTGGAAATAACAGATTCATTCACAAGATATGATACAAACATTACTAACTACTATCATCTCTCAGTTCCACAGCGGGGAGTGTCTCCCTGATGCTCCTAACCACCGCATCACTTTTCTTGGCCTGAAAATAAAGAATAAATTTACTGTATAATTATTATACACTTTAATAACCTCTTCATTTCCCCAGACGATCTTGTTCAGCCTCGGTTTCTTGACGACCGGTCTTCTTCCAAAGCTTACCTATGAAAACGAAAAAAGTATAAGAAGGTATAATAAATAT